CTAAATTAGAGACGGCTAGCGCAGATAGCCCTCGTGTAGCTTTGTGCGAAATTCAAAACAAACAAGCATCTACTTTGTGGTTTCTATTAAAAATACAGTTTTTCATCTCATTTTACAATACATGTGAATGAGTATTTTTTTTATACGTGTGTATCTGGCGCATGAAGATTTTAGGCGTAATATAATGTTCACCATAACTTGGTTTAAACTAATCACTTCTACTGATTTTTCTGCAGAGTCACTAGTAGATTTTGCAAAGATCATTTCGCGTGATCAATCACGTGCTCGTGAGAGATTTTTATTAATGCATTTCAGTCACGACTTGTTACTGGGAGAGGACGACGTTAATACTGGGAGTAGCACGACTTTGATGAAGTATGAAAAATCATAATCTTATATAAAACTTCTCTGATAAAACAAAAACAAAAAAAAAGACAAACAAACAGAAATTTCAGAGTTTATTTCTTTAAAAGTAATAACTTTGATTAGAAGAAAATATAAATAACTTGTGGATCTTGTTTGAAAAAAGTTATTTTGAAATTATATTTTTGTAGCTAGTAGTCAGCTTTAGTTTTGGATGTTTGATCGACTTTTTTCCTTTACGTATTTAGTGCAGTTTTAGTAAATGTAGTTGTGTTGTGAATGGTATAGTGTAAAATGCCGTGATTCGATCGTTGTTTTTATATAGCGAGATAGGGCCCAGCATGGCATTATGGTTAGGGCACTCAACTCACAACCTGCGGGTCGAAGGTTTAAATCCCCATCACCAAACATGCTCGTCCTTTCAGCCGTATGGGCGTTATTATGTGAAAATCAATTCCACTGTTTGTTGGAAAAAAGAGTAGCCCAAGAGTTGGCTATGGGTGGTATTGATTAGTTGCTTTCCTTCTAGTCTATCACTGCTAAATTAGGAACGGCTAGCGCATATAGCCCTCGAGTAGCTTTGCGCGAAATCCAAAACAAACAAACAAACAAACAAATATAGCGAGACCATCAATCTAGCAAAATGTTGTGGCGAAAAATAGATTTTCGTTAGCTACTACACACAGCTTTTCAACCTAATGAGTTTTAATTAGAAAATTTGTCTTATTACTCAGACATAAGAGCATAAGTAAATTTCAACATCTCGAATTCGAGAGCAATAGTAAAGTGTGAAGACTTGTGAAATCACTCAGTTGGTATGTTACGAATATTGCAGCAGAAACTTATTACGTTTAAAATCTAACCTGATTAGAAAAACAAAACAAAAACAGCAACATAAAATGCAATTCAAGTATAGTGGATTTTGTTTGTTTGTTTCAGTTTTCATACAAAGCTATACAAAGTGCTATCTGCGCATTGTCGTCTCTAATTTTGAACAAGAGGAAAGTCAAGTATGTAATCAATAGTACACACTGCCAACTCTTGGGATATTCTTGTCGGATCGAATATTGGGGTTTAATCGTCACTCTTGTAACGCACCCAAGGCCACATATTGCAAAGCGTGTTTCTGATACAACAGGATGCGAAACACTGATTTCCGGATTCATAATCTGGACTGAAGATTACCGGAAGTTACGAACAATTCAATACGGTGGCGTGTGTATCGGGGTGATATGGGGGGGGGGGGGTAAACTTTCCCATTTTAGAGCTCTGTTCCATCAGACTCCCATTAGAGATATCGTCTTTTAAGATTTTCGAATTCTTTACATTCTGTGACTCCATTGACATGGAAGTGTCAGTAGAAGTCACACAATGTAAGGAATGTTAATTTTTTATCCTTCCTCCAATAAAAAATCCTACAGATACCATTGATTCAGTAATGAATATCCTGTTGTTGTTGTTTTTTTTCTGTAACTGCCTTTTTACAAATACTTGTGAAAATCCCTCACAACAGTTTTATGATGTCTGACTATTCATGGCAAAAACAGATAAAATAAAAATACAATGTAACATTTTTATTTTTATCACTATAACTTGAATAAGCTTTAATGTCAGAAGATATATATATTCCACCTATTATCTGTTGAAAACACAAAATATTCAAGATTATCGCTAAGCGCGGTAGTATATAGGTATAGGCCGAGAGAAAATGGCTTCCGTATTCAACCTGTTACTCTATGATGCTTACAAATTACTGCTGTTATACTGAGTTATAGCCTTATTTGAGCACCTAATCGACATTATCAGGTATTTCACAGCTTATGAGGCTCCTAATATCATTAAAAGGTGTTGCTAAATTGGAGAACTGGAAACTAGCTAAAGTGTCAAAGTGTTCATCTTTCTTTTCTATTCTTCCCACGCTAGCCAAAAAATGAGCGAAATTTTCGCAATAGCATTAATACGACAGAAAAACATTTTAAAACATGGGGACAGGCTAACACTAAGCATGGTAGTGCTTAGTATGTAGGGATGTGCCGAAAAAAAATGGCCACCGGATTCAAACTATTGCTCTATGATGCTTACAAATAACTGCTAAAATTGAGTTATAACCTTGTTTGAGCACCAAATTGCCATTATCGAGTGTCTCAAAGCTTGTATACTAGTAATATTATTCTGTGCTTCTACAGCACGTATTTTTGTAGAGAAATGATAAAAAGGAAAACAACTATTTAGCAGTGAGTTCAGTTTATAAGAATATATTATTTCATAAATAAGAGTTTCATTTCTGGTCGCTAGATGACAACACAAATTTTCCTAGCTATAATGACCGTTTGTGTCTTTTCATTGCACAAAAATTATATCTGCAAAAACAATTTCAGTAAAAATAAGTAAAGAAAGAAAGAAAGAATAATGTAAATTAATATTTTAGGTATCAAGAAGAAAAAGCATTTATAGAACTGACAGATCTGTGCACATGTTATTGATGTCTGAATTTGAAAACATCAGTTTCTTAATTATCAAAACAATATATTATATTGCTGTCTACCTTTCTTTTTAAATATTTAATGGGGCCGAGCCTGGTAGCTGTGTGTGTATGCATGGTACCATGTCTTCTCCATTAATTGAATAACCCTGGCATGCGATTTAGTCGATTATATGTACATGCAGTGAGTTAGGGTGAAGTTGGAAAGCATGGCTTGTGTAAATAAATCTTAACGTAGATCCATCCCTCAGGGTACATCTATCACTTTGGTGGAACCTTTCCAGCCTCACTGGTCCCCAGTGTAATCCAAAATTATAGAAACTGATATAATATGAACAGTATATATTACCATCGAATTGTAAAAATAAAACAAATATTCACTTCTAACAGGGGAAACGGGTAATTAAAATATGTGCAAAAATTAAGTATGATGTAGGGATGGTAATGACAAAAAGTACAGAAAAGTGGTAGGGATGAATACATAAAACCATACAAAAATTCTAACGCAAGTAGCCAGTAAGTACTGAGTCAATCTTACAAGCTTGTGGTTATTAGCCTCTGCAAGACTACATAGCACTACTGAGTATGAATGCTTTTATTCAAATCTGAGTTCATTTGACTGAAATTCAACGTTTAGTTGTAGATAAAAGTTATTATTGGAATGATTTGACAATATTTCGTTCTAACTATATCTCGTGAACCAACTCATTTTCAAGATCAAGGAAGACTTTTTATTTAGGGGTTAGACCACGAGGTCACATCTCATGTGACTAGCTATTACCATAAATCTATATAATCTTTCACAATATTAATATCTGTACGCCGCGCTATGGAAGCTTGTGTCAATTTCCTAATATATATACATACATGCTCAAAATGAACGTGCTCCAGATAGAAGATGAGTTAGTGTTACATTTAATATAACTAAAAAATCGTAGTTGAACCAAGCAATAGAAGGAATAATAAAATAACGATAAATAAAACCATAACAAAATATAGTAGCCTTCGCTATTTCACAATCTTATAAGTAATTAATTCAAATCTTAATTTTAGAAACACAAGTACCAGCCAGAACAATGGAACCGATTCAGAATCATCAAGTCCTTGTCATCAGATCAGTTCCAGTCAAGTATTTGATTTTAAAAACGTGTTGCTTCGAGACCTTGCTCTCAGCAGGAGCGTGGGTGATCTCTTAGCTGTCAAAATGGCTGAAGTCAGCAATTCCTACAACAGTGCATCAGATGTTTGGTCAAATAAAAAAGAAGACTATGAACTTGGGGAAATGATTGGTTAGTATTATTTGAAAACAGTTTTTTCATGGTATGGTTCCATAAATAATGCATGATTTTCATCTTAATGAACTTAATTTTATGAAGCATAAAAATATAACTATACTGTTGAATAATTTAATTTATTCTGACTTGTTTTACATCACTAAATGTAAGATATTGTTAAAAGCTATGTTTATTATTGTTTTAAGTTAGATGTTTGTTAGAGGGCGCTTGACGTTAAGAAAAAGTAAGATTATAAAACTAGAAGTAATCCTAGAATACCTAGATGTAGAATGATTGTGAATATTAGTGACCAAAAGATTTTAGTAAACATCTGGAACAAGGATACATTATAAACAAGAGAATCAATAAAGCACAGAGTCAGTGTTCAGTTGGTAGAGCACCAGGCATTTAGTTTCAGTGAAGTATTATGATCAGTGTTAATGTTAGCTATAACTTAAGTATAACGCAAGCTTTTCCTAAAGATTTTTTTCAACTGCACTATTATATTTTAACTTCATCATTTTTAATACCTCACGTCTTATTACACCTCATATATACAGGCCTAGTAACAAATGATCCAAAAATGAAGAATATTCTAGTAAATATATTTATTTATTATAATGGAATTTTATAATCTTAAAAATACTTTTTTAAATATTTATCCACTTGAACCTACAATTACAGGTGCTCAATTTGTGATCAATTGCACACCAGAAAAACCCTTGGTATAACATATATTGGATTTAAAATTCCAAAACAGCTAAATTGTGACAAAAATATACTATTTAAAAACGTTTTGCTACTCTTAACGTGGCATCAACATCATATATATATATTGGATTATTTTTTGTTTAAGTTTAACTATATCAGTATTATTAAATTGGCTCAACCACTCTGTGATCCTTATGAGTGGTAACTGTTGAAATGTTGTAATAAAGCTAAACTAAAAATTAAAATAAACAATCCACTCAAAAGCTGTATCTCGGGACTTGTATTTAAAGTATGTTAATCATTCTACTTTAGTAAAGGCTTTACTTTAATGAGTAAATCTATGTTGAAAATCAAAACTTTATTTGTGAACCTAAAACTGTGTACAAGTGATATTGATAGTAGCCTGTAGTTAAAGGAAGAAATTAACTAATTTGTTATTATTGCGTACATTGAACTTATTTACCACAAATAAGTTAAAAGAATCAGCTCAACATTACAACAATATCAAACAACTATGTTACCAATGTAACGTTACTACTGCTACTAGGGAAATGACAAGTTTAACAAAATATCAGAAATCAATAATTAATAAGTTGTGCCTAGCCAGGACTTTATAGCTCAAGCTCAAACACAAATGCTTAATTTAAACTTTAAAGAAGCAACATTGTTGATATCAAATGACACCAAATAATATTTACAATAACAATGAATTAAAAAAAAGAACCAGAAGAAGAAAAAAAAGGGAACAATATTAAACACTTCTCAAAGTAACATTAAATTACAAGCAAGAAAGTGAATATTTGCAATAATCTATAAATATAACTTTGTGAAGATTCTTACATCTTTCTAGCCTAACTTCTCTCAATAATTTCATGCAACTTCTAATTGTATTGCCATACTACAAGATTACATAACATTTGATTGATAACTTATCATTTGTTTTGCATATTGATATATAATAAATTTAGCTAATGCACATGGATTATCATAAATTGAATTATAGATATAAATTTGAAGAGAATAACCTGAACAATGTTATGGAAGAAAAGGATCTTGGTGATCTGGTTGATCAATCTCTTCTGTCATCCTAGCAGCATGCTGTTGCTAGTGGTGTCACAAACAGACTTTTAGGTTGTATCTACAGAAATATTGGATACAAGTCTAAGGAGGTTATAATTTTATCCTATATGTCACTGGTTAGGCTACACTTAGAGTATTGTGTTAAGTGATTGATATATAATAAATTTAGCTAATGCATATGGATTATCATAAATTGAATTATAGATATAAATTTGAAGAGAATAACCTGAACAATGTTATGGAAGAAAAGGATCTTGGTGATCTGGTTGATCAATCTCTTCTGTCATCCTAGCAGCATGCTGTTGCTAGTGGTGTTGTAAATAGACTTTTAGGTTGTATCTACAGAAATATTGGATACAAGTCTAAGGAGGTTATAATTTTATCCTATATGTCACTGGTTAGGCTACACTTAGAGTATTGTGTTAACTGATGGGCTCTTACCTTTGAAAGGACATTGAATTGTTGGAAAGGCTTCAGAGGAGGGATACCAGAATGAAACCTAAGAGAGACAGTTTTTGATCTATGACATTGTTTTCTCTTGGAAAAAAGAAGAGTTAAAGGGGATCTGAATGAGGTGTCTAAGATTGCTATGGGAATTGAAAGTGTCATTGCATCATCTTTTTTGGACTTAATGGTGAAAATGATAAGTCTAAGGGATACAAATATATATTTTAGCAGAGTAGGAGTCATCCTCTGCTTAACTAAAAACACCAAACCTACAAGTATATGAAACAAGTAAAATGGAAGATAATGAAATGTATGAAGATCAACAAATGCAAGTTTAAAAAATACTAGAAATTAGAATGTAGATGTGACATGGTGTTTAAAATTGTTTGGGGTTTCAATATTCTGCTTCTAGGTTTGTTTGAAATAGTTGAAAACAATGGATATATGAATTGTAAGAGAATATAGCTATTGCTGCTTGCTTATGGGTAATAAGGAGGTAATGCATTATAATGTTGGTGCAGTTCAAATTGTCAGAAAAAAAAAGGTATAACAGATATTTCTGGTGGTTTATGAATTTCCAGGAAATATGTGGAGCAAAAGCTAATGGTGGATGAACTGTCATGAAAAATTGCAAATACAGCTAATTATTGAGGTGATTGTATGGAGGAAGTAGTGTTGGTATAGTAAGTAGTTTTAGAAGAGAGTGCACTTATTTTTGGTATAATAAGTATATTAAGAAGGGAGTGCACCTACTTTTAGCTGTATCTGGATATTGGAAAATAATACACATTTACAGCTAGATTGATAATCTTGGTCAGTATCTGATGGATCTACTGCTGGTGCTGTATGAATTATCAAGATAGTCTAACAACAGCCTATGGATATTTTGCAGAAAGTGCATGGAAGTACTTTGAATATTCTATGGATTGACAGGGGGAGTGAATTTATTATTGGTACTGTTTGTGTTATTAGAATGAAGTACAACTACAGTTTTTAGAATATCAAAATATGGTTGATGAATATTTTGATGCAGGTACTTGTTGGAGAAAACATTACCTAATTTTTTACAGTTTATTAGAAGACAGAGAATGGAGGCTGTTGTACGTGTCATACTGATTCTCAGGGGACACAGGATCAAGTACAGAAGCTGCTTTATAAATTGTCAGGAGAGAATAAAGCTATTAATATTACTGATACTGTGTGGTTTGTCAGGAGAGTGTATAGTCACAGGTGTTGCTGAGTGATTTGCTGCTCAGGAGTTATTAAACAATAATTCTGAAGTAAAGGACTTTATCAGTTAGATGAAAAGCCTGATCCACTTCATCAAGTAGTTAAGCAAATTGAAATGTTTAGGAGAACTGTTAGTGCAGTTATAAGATTATTGTAATCCCTTAAATGAAAGTTGATGAAATATATTACTAGTACATGTACATCCATTACAGATTGATTGCTGGAATTTCAGGTTTATTGTAATTATTTGTATAGAGTACAAATGTGTATAAGTATAAATGTTATTAATGACCTTTACTCATACTTAAAATACTGCATGAATAGAACTGAATTACATTTAAGATCCTGGTATGATCATTTTAAAATATTATAGATTTAGTTAATTAATGTAAAAAAACTAAAAGCATCTAATATGTTACTTTGAGATATAAAATGTTTCATACTTTTTTTTCAAAGTATAGAAAATTGTCCATAGATATGTGATTAAGATCATCTTGATTCTTTAATTACAATTTAAAATTGACTGTGTTATTCAATGCTTTAAAAATATTCTGTAGGTAAAATTGCTAATGAATCTGTCAAAATTAAGGTGTATGAGATTTTGAAATACCAAAAAAAGTATTCATTATAATCTTTTGCATGCGAAACTAGTAATTTTGTTTAAAATTGTTTTTAAAAATTTGTCAACAGGAGTTGGTGCAACAGCATTTGTTCATAGTGCAGTATGTAAACCAAGAAATGAAAATTGTGCAATCAAAAGAATCAATTTAGAAAAATGGAACACAAGTATGGAAGAACTTCTTGTGAGTATACACATTAGTGTAGTTTAAAAAATGTTAAGATGCATTTTTATTTATGAGCTTCCCTGATGGTTCACAGTATTTATGCATTAAGAGTTACTTTTTATGTTATATCAAATTTACTTGAACAGTATGATGCATTAGAAATCTGCTTTGTTGTGTAAAGCTAAACAGAACCAAGTGTTTTGTACACAACCAAATATAAAAAAACAATTTTTACAATTCTGAAACATTTTAGATTCAGAGGTAGAAATTTTCCAAACTACTAATTAATACTTACTTGTGTAGCTTGCAATCAATCATCTTTCTCTGAAAACAAAAAGTAAGATAATAAGAATTATTCAAACAGTTAACAGCACTGTATCATCATTTCTATTAATAAAAAGTATTCAAATCGTAGTTGAACTAAGCAATAGAAGGAATAATAAAAGAACGGTAAATAAAACCATAACAAAATAAATTATCTCCAATAAATTATCTATTCAGATTAATTCAAAAAAAACAATCTTCATTAAATATAATCCTGCCAGATCAACTGAACTATTTTAGATAATAATAATAATATTTTTAACACAGTACCATGTAAATAATAACACACATCTAGCTTGTAACTGTAATCATTCTTGAAAATAATCAGTGGTCCTAATTCTGAAGTTTTGTATAAAGAACTTATATAATTTATTTATTGCAAATTTTTACCTAAATCAGAGATGTATGTATATTACATAATTTTGTTCTAAAAAACAACAGACAATTATCTTTAACACACAAAAAAATCACTTATTGTGAAGTGTGTGGTTGTTAATGTGTAAATAGGAAGAAACAGACTTTGATTTTCAAAGATCTTTAGGATCTATAAAACACTTAATAAAATAGTTTGTTTTACATTATTAATTTTATTTCAAAAAACAATGTACATGTGGAAAGTATAGTGTTTCAAATTCAAGCTTTGAAGTTATTCTTCTCAAGATTACTCAAATACATCAAGTTTTACAAATCAAATATAACAGAAAGTCAACCACTTATGCTTGTCAACAAAAAATGCACAGCTGAGATTTTAATGCCTCTAAAAATAAAAATAAATTTTTTGAAACAATCTCTATCATACATTTTAATACATTTAATTTGAGTATGCCAAAATTATAACTAGTATGTTTTCTACATAGATTGTGATTTTTTTATTGTTGGTTCACATATAGAGTAATATGTATTGAACATATGTATTTCTGTTGATTGGACTTATTGCTAAATATTTATTATGAATTATGTACCCAGAAAGAAATCCAGGCCATGAGTGCATGCAATCATGAAAATGTTGTGAAATATTATACCTCTTTTGTTGTCAAGGAAGAACTATGGTTAGTGATCAAACTTCTTGGAGGAGGTAAGTAATAAACATCACACCTTAATGTATCTTTGTTTTTAAATTCATTTTATTTTAATTATTTTTAAGTTTTGGAAAAAATTGTAAAGTAATGAAATAATAACTTGTAATTAAAAGAGGATGAATTACGAGAAAGGAAGATTGTTGTGAATTAAACTTCTTACATGCTGTTGGTTTTGGCAATGTTTCTATCGTTCATTTTTATTTAAGATTAAATGTACATGCTGGATAAAAGTAAGTAGTATCTTATGTGAATATATTTGATGTAATATTTTTTTCTAATGTAGGGTCTAGGACAAAGTATAGTAATTTTTTTTTATTACACTGAAAAGATACTGTAAATCAGGCAGGTGGTAGCACTGCCTATGGGTTGGCTCAGAGTGTTCATCAAAATTGTATTGTAAATATCTCCTCAACAGGTCATCAGAATTTTACAATTCAATAAAGTGTTCCCTCTCATAACAATATGTATGTAATGACTGAGTCAGTTGTTCTGGGAATATCTGTAAATATCATAGCAAAAAAAGTTTTAATTTTTTGTTCTTCTTTCTTTTGCTTTTTTTTATTACATGGTAACTCGAAACCAAAACAATGGCATCAGCCAGTTTCACTGAGGCGACAGTTTTAAATGGAGTATCTGCTTTTATAAGTATTATTAATAACTAGTAGTAAGTTAAAAAAAATCATAATTCTAGTATAAATGATGTTATCATTACCCCTTGAAGTTAGCTTTATTACAGAAATTTGATGTTCCTTTAAAAAGTTTAAGTGCTGGGTGAAACAGGAATTACCAGCCAATAATATATAAGCGATAAATATTACAGTTGGAACCTCATTGTATTTAGAACTTGGCTATAACTACAACTTTCTTATGTCTATTGAAACACTGCATTAAAAAAACAAGCAAACATGTGAAGAAAAACTTTTCAAAAAAAGGAAGTAAATGTAGGGATGACTAATATCAATCCTTCAAAAACTATGCAAACAAGATAGTAGGGATGGCATTTGCAAAATCCCTACATAATAGTCCAGGCAAGAATTAACATATAGCAATATATATATATATATATATAT